CCACACTCGGGACTGACTTTTTATGTTCACACCAACGATAGCTTTTCTGCCAGGCTTGTGACAGGATGGCGACAGGCATTTAGTGAGCAAGCCATATAAGTACAAAGTGAGATAGCTAACCAAATCCAAACAGTGGGTGTTATATCTTCAAATATTTTCTGTATAAGTGTGGTTTTTTATCATATCACCGGAAGTCGATTCAGGCACAAGCCAAACTGGAGTAAATGATTGGCTGGTCCCAGTCACGTGACCCATACCAAAGCATACGCCTACTGCATACGAGGCCTAGCTTTTTACCAAAGGTTTGCACCAATAGCCGCAATGTAGTTTGGTGACCGAGGGAGGTAGCTTGGGAGCGGACCTACTGGTTCGCCCGACCCGCTTTCGACTTTCCCGGTTAACATGTTTCTTCATAGAATGCTACTGCTTTTTCTGAGTCATAAATGGTATAAAAATATGGTTAAATAAGATGATCCGAGTGCGAGAAGTCTCAAACATGTATACATATCCATGACTATATTTAAGTTTGAATCGAGATTTCCAAATACACAAATGTCGAGTTCTTGCCAAGCTTTTGTTTGAAGAAGCGATGTGGGTAGTCAGAAAAAGGTTTTGTGAAGAAAGGCAGGTCGATCTGTACGTTTTGTGATGTTACAATTTCTTATTTTATAAACGTCCAATTGCACATACCTCACGTGGAGAGGCAGAGGTCTCCTGAAATAAATTATCTAAATTGTTTCATACCATTTCCTTTCTTGCACTGAAAGTCCACCTTTCCCTGGTTTATGCGCTTCAACCATTTAAATAGTTTTTTTCTTGGCTTGTGCACAAATGCAATTTGAACGCGCGCGCTTCCTGGCTTGTGCACAACAAACCAATCAGAATGCTGGCTTGTGCATGAATCGCATACCCATATCCGTTTTGGGAAACGCCTTCAAACAGCCCCATCCTCAGTCAGGTAATTTGTTTGTCTGCTCCGAATCGATACTTGCTTCTGAGAGTTTCGGAACATGGTCTAATTTCACATAGTAGTTGTCAAAATCTTAGCCCTATTCCAGACGAGTTGTGAACTTCGGCAAACGACGGACCGACAGATGGGATGAACAGATGAGAGGGGCCCCTTAAGGTGGACCAGAACTTTGGGCTGCTGAAGTCGTGGACCTTATTCTCACAATATCGCTGCCGTAATTCCACCGACCAATAACGTCCTAAGTTCAATAAGTTCGTGAGCAGGCAGACAGTATGAGCCAGCCTGCTTCATTCGTCCCTCAGAAAATCATTGTTTCTGCTCGGTTGTTTTAATGGCCATTTGAGTCATTGTCCGTGAAGCAACGTGGTTAAATTCAAATTCGCGGTTTTGATTCACCTCCTATTCATTCGACATCCCGTTGGTGACCAGAGTTACATACGTCATAACAGAAAAATCTAGCTCACCCACCGTAATCTCCGTCATTTGACTAATCACCGTCCCCGAGGTCAGTTCAGTTTATTTGTCACTCGACTGGCAAATAGCTCGGGTTATATCAGGGGGCGATGGTGACCTCATTCAGTGATAACGAGTGAGTGGCATTTGAAAACGGATGTCACCGGTAGTGTCCAAAACTTTTTCAAATTTTTCAAACGTTCGAACCAGATCGCGAAGTCACTTTTTTAAGGAAAAATCCAACTGACTGAGTACGATTATGAACCTTATATCCAAAAAATGTCAGACCAATACCATCGATGGTTCAGACTGGATGAGGACCGAGAGAACCACCGGGTATTCGATATAAGATGCTAGAAACACAGTATTAATCCTAAACCCCCAATTGTTAAACCACCGGATACCGCCTCCGACTGAACAGCTTTCTGAACGACAGACTCATTTCACAGACAGAAGACTTGCTTGATCGTTCAGCGATCAACGGATATCCGTCACCAAGTTTGCTCCCCCGGCCACGATCTTCTCGAACCCCAATTTCACCCACCGACTTCCAAATGCCATGTAGGTAAAAATGAACAAAATCGAGGACTGACCGAAAAGTAACTTCGGGCAGTTGCTTCCCCTCCCCCAGCGTACTAACAGGGTCACAGAAAAAAGAATTGGACCCATTCGCCAGCATCTCCACCATAGTTTACTTGTCACAGGGACTGCTGAGTGAGTAAGAAGGATCTTAGGGTAAAGGAAAAGACCTAGTGATCAAGTGGTGTTTCAAAAGCTTCTTTCAATGGAAGCAAAGAAGTTACGAAGAAGATGCAAGTGGTCACTAATCTTGAGCCGCTCTGTGAGAGCTCAGAGTATTGCACGTTCTGAGGGGAGTTCAATAATTACATTGAAACACATGGATTCTATTATTATTACGACGTGGATGAGGGTGACATTGGTCAGTGACAGTAGTCATGAATATGGGTGGCTGCCTGCAGAAGGTCAGACAACACCTAGCCTCTGAGTACACTACAATTTCTAGACTGTGCGGTAAGTGGGCGATGCAAAAATAAAAACTACTACCTACCGGTAACCAGCAAACCCAGGCGCCATCCTAAACTACTCGTCAGCCCATCCGAATTTGATGCACGCTAGTATCATCCATCAATGTTTAGTGGGTTTATAGCGCTGTCCATGGAATAGATCAACAGAACAATAGGCCATATTCAAGGCAGAGACGGACTCCATGAATGTGGAGTTTGATTAGATGATTGCTGGCAATCAAGATAGATGGCAATCAAGAAGACTAGTATCAACATCGAATACGGAAGGGATTGGTATAGCAGTCATTCCATATAAAGTAGAAAGATCTGAGGTCATTCCAAAGGTGCTGAACACAACCAGCTTTAGAATGGCGTTTCAGAAGATGTGATTCAATGATCGACTCCCTTTTAAAAGAACCAGAGCTTGCATGTATAAATTTAAATGCAATGATTTTGCTAATGTCTACGTAGGACAAACTATCGGTAAATTAGATAAAAGAATTTGTGTGTGCAAGAGAATAAATACTAAACACACCACTAAGATTTACATGTGAATATAAGGCGCTGATGAGAGTCTCAACGATCTAGAAAATGTGGAGGTTTTAAGATGGGACCACGATTCATACCATAGCAACTGTTGACACAGCCTGCTAGCGTGAATGCAACAGACTTTGTAGAGCTGATGAGCATACGAAGGGCGCTAATAAATAAGTCATTTGGACAGGTGACGGTCTGTGGTGGTTAATTAAGAGGATTCATTAGCCGAAGAGGTAGATTGCCGAAACAATATTCTCGTAACCCATACGGACCACAAGAACTTGTGAACGACACCCGACAGCGATCCTTAGAAGAAGTAGACAAGAAGAAACAAACACTGGGCTGTGCCCTAATCCACATAAATCCCCCCTGTGTCGTTGATTTCAACACTTACCTACGCATATTAGTGAAAAAAAGACCTAGCAGATATCCCAAACTAACTTAGACTGCAAGCAGAGTGAGAGTGACGAATACACTTATTTGCATATCAATTCGGTTTTGACCTTAGACTCACCTCGGACCCTGCTCAGCCTCTCTCTCTTAAGCAACCGAGAGCATTACGTCGGGTCGCTTAAAGGCATAATGAACGAGAGATTAAGGTGGGTTCCAGGTTGGTCTCCCTTCAGAACCAAATTTATTTGCAAATGGGTGCATTTGTCAAAATCTACCCAATTTGGTTTGAAGTAGAACATAAGGTTGACGGAAACTCGGGGACTGTGCCTACCTGATGAGAATCAAGTAGAAAAAAACCGATCGTGTGGTGTCGAAGAGCTTCCAGCAAATATTTGAGTAATGTACTACGTCTATATAGGGTGAAAGTGGCTCTCCCCCTGCCGTAAAGCTCAGCAGACCTTGTAAACAAGTAACCTGGCCTGAAAAAGCTTTTATGTCAAAGGTGAAGTCTGGTTTTCTAGAATTTTACGGAAAGATTACATCATTTCGTTCGAAGGTAAGCGTCAGTGAGGGAACCTTCATGCTTTTACATATGTCTCCTGTCATACTAGCAAATGCTGACAGCACCATTCGAAAAGTACAATCAGATACATGCGTGAGCATCGAATGTTCCTATTGGTCGCTAAGTTATTTATCCATTTATAATATAGAGTAATTTATCCTGTTCCTGACTAATGTAGGTTTACTTATTTAAAACTGGTATGTCGCAAAAATTGGACCTTAAAATGGGGTGTTTATATTCTTCATTCATAAACAAATCTGGATAAATTCCACCTCATATGTATATATATATATAATGTTTATTTTACAGTTATTTTGTAGAGAAAACTCACCATCCTCTTTGCAAGAGAGCAGACACAAGTAGTGCCTTATGAGGCTGCCAGGGAAGAAATATCAAGCTCACTTCATGTCCAGACATCAGGATGTACATGATGAGATAAACCATTTAGTGTTATTTCCTCCATTTTGCTGGCGGTACTTACGCTACCCAGAAAGTTTATGGTCTGTCGTGTCAATCAAAGGTCATCGGATATCACTTTTCCTGGACGTACATCTGCTGCTTCCGAAGATTACAAGTCGGGCAACTACGATAAAATGTAAAACCTGGGGCCTCTCTGGTGGGCAGACCTGACCACTCCATCTGACACATTAGGTCCCAAGTGGCTCATTTTTCATCGAACGCATGAGTAGTATTGGATGGAACATCGAAGTCTTGAGTAACATTCCTAATGAAACATGGGGTGGTCTTTTTGCAGTATCCATTAGGTCCCAAGTAGCTCATTTTCCATCGAACGCATGAGTAGTATTGGACTGAACATCGAAGTCTTGAGTAACATTCCTTATGAAACATGGGGTGGTCTTTTTGCAGTATATGTAATGGTACAGTGGTGTAAATGAGAAATTTAGCTGAAATTCAGCCAGGCGTCCTTTACCAACTAGGCTAATGTGCAAAAGAGTGTTTATCGCAATACCTCAGTCTCTTGTTCACAAATGTCCCAATGAACAGCCCATCGGATTATATGCGCAGGCTTAGTGTCTTCGTTTACAATTTCGATCAACCTGAGACGCCCAGAAGCCTAACATTGGACGGCAGCTCCTTTCTGTTCAATGTGCTGGATAGCTTTCATCAAGATAAGGAGATGTAACGGCCTGCGATTAGTGTGATAAGTACTTTAACAGTACAACATCGATGTCGCTCGGAGAATAACATGAGCACTCATTTCGCTTCTTGAATCGTAAGACGATAGATAAATCAGAGGACAGGATAGCCAAACAAACAAAAACAACTGTAGTCGTCTTAATGAAGTTCATAAATGAGATGGTAACTTAGGGATTCCTAATCAGTGACAATTACATCTTTCTAATTCCATTTCAGTTCTATCGAAAAGCGAACAAAATTAGTATGGGGTATTTCACCATTCCCTGGTTGTCTAGTCTGGAGAAAAGGATGTCACCGTATTGTCTCAAAATGTTTTGATTTAGACCGGTCACACAGGGCCTCGGAGTTTTCGTTTTCATTGTCGCCGGAAGGCGGCTAACCCAAGTTTGACCGCGGTGAGCTGCGCACCTTTATGGGATCCTTAGGACCATCCTTCACATTCTCGAACGGAATGAGAGTTATGCATGTCTACCAAACATCAGAAACGACTAGGCCCTTGATGGAAAACTTAGCCATTTCAGCTGACAAGGGGACAACAAACTCTCTCAGCTGACGCTGACTAGGTGTGTTGTCAATTAAACATCTTGCTTTGAAACTTGTTCAGATTTGTAGCCTGCTAATTTGGCCTGATGATGCTGGGGCATCAAAAGCGAGACGCAGTCCAGCTACAAATCTACTGACTGTTCTTTAATTTTTTGAAAACCTACATGACTCTTTCAATCAGATGTCATGAATGGGCTGACAGTGATTTCTATAGACCGGTAGAATGACCAACGCCTAACCATATCTTGAAGCCCGCACAGGCAGGACACCCTAAGAAGACAGATATTCTATATTTACTCTACGTTCATTGCATTAACCTTTAAGATGTTGACTTAAGTTCCGGTCACAACTTGAATGAATCTGGAAAAGTCCTGCCCCAAAACTCCATTTATAATTCAGTGTGTTGGAAATAACTACTCCATCAGCATAGTACGGACCGAGCTGGATAATTCTATCTATCTATCTATCTATCTATCTATCAATCTAATCTATCTATCTATCTATCTATCTAATCTATCTATCTATCTATCTATCTAATCTATCTATCTATCTATCTATCTAATCTATCTATCTATCTATCTATCTAATCTATCTATCTATCTATCTATCTAATCTATCTATCTATCTATCTATCTAATCTATCTATCTATCTATCTATCTAATCTATCTATCTATCTATCTATCTAATCTATCTATCTATCTATCTATCTAATCTATCTATCTATCTATCTATCTACCTATCTATCTATCTATCTATCTATCTAACTACCTATCTATCTATCT